CAGTGGGGGCCCGGGGAGAGCTGGAGGGTCCCGGGGGTGTGCGGGTGGTCCCGGGGCTCTGGGGAGTCTCAGGGGGTTCCGGAGGGTTCCGGTGGTCCCGGGGCTGTGGGGAGTCCCGATGTGTCCCGGGGTTCTGGGGGGTTCCGGGGGGTCCTGGAGTTGTCCCGGTGGGTCCCGGGGTTCTGGGGGGTCCCCGATGGGTCCCAGATCCCTTGAGGGTGTCCCCAGTGTGTCCTGGATCTCTGGGGGTCCCCAATGTGTCCTGGGTCTCTGGGGGGTCCCCAATGTGTCCCTGGTCCCTTGAGGGTGTCCCCAGTGTGTCCTGGATCTCTGGGGGGGGGGCGGTCCCGGTGGGCCCCGGTGTGGGTCCGGCAGGTCCCGGTGTGTCCCGGTTCTCTCTGGGGTGCATCCCGGGGGTCTCACCCACCCCCCCGCGCCCCCCAGGCAGCCCCGGGGCCGTGGAGGCGGCGCTGGCGGCCGTGTGGGCGCTGTTCCCGCGGGGGCTGTTCGAGGACGCGCTGCCCCCGCTGCTGCTGCGGCACCAGCTCTACGACGTGGTGCGGGACCGCACGGCCGTGGACCGGCACCTGGTGAGCCCCGGGGGGGGCTGGGGACCGCCCTGAACCCCCCGTGACCCTCCCCCTGACCCCGTGTGACCCCCCCACCCCCAGAACCGGCTGCGGGACGAGGGGCAGGTCCGGCTGCTGCACCTGGGGCTGGGCCCCGACGCGCTGGGCGTGGTGAGGACGGAGCTGTACCGGGACAAGGTGCGTGGGGAGGGAAGGGGGGGGGTTTGGGGGGTTTTGGTGACCCCTCTGACCCCTCCTGACCCCCCCCCAGGCCCTGCAGGCCGTGGCTGGGACCCCCCGGGAGGGGCTGGTGCGGCGGTTTCTGGACGAGGCGGTGGCGGCGACGCCGGAGCTGAGCTACGACCGGGGCAGGATGGAGAGCCTGGGCTTCGGGGACCGCGACGTCACGTACGGCCTGGGGGGTCAGGAGGGGACTGGGGGACAGCCTGGAGCGGGTGACCCCCCCTGGGCAGTGGGTGGTCTGGGGGGTGCTGATGTGACCCCCCCCGTGCCCCCCCAGGCAGCTGGTGGTCTGGGGGGTGCTGATGTGACCCCCCCCAGGCAGCGGGTGGTCTCGGGGGTGCTGATGTGACCCCCCCCCGGGCAGTGGGTGGTCTCGGGGGTGCTGATGTGACCCCCCCCGTGCCCCCCCAGGCAGCTGGTGGTCTCGGGGGTGCTCACAGTGCGCGACGCGGGCAGTTGGTGGTTGGCCGTGCCGGGGGTCGGGCGCTTCGTGCGGGCCCTGCTGAGGGGTGAGTGGGACCCCCTGACCCCCCGTGAGCCCCCCCTCACCCTGGGGGGTCTCTGAGGGTCCCTTTACCCCCGGTGACCCCCCCGTGCCCCCCAGGCCGCCGGGCCCTGCTGTCGGTGGTGCGGCGCTCGCGGCACCGGGAGGTTCCGCTGCGGGAGCTGCAGAGGGCGAAGCCCCCCCCGGGCGCCCGCCTGGGGGTCCCGTTCCTGCTGCACGACCTGCTGGGGGCCCAGGAGCTGCTCAGGTACCGACCCCCCATCCCCCCGCCACGGGACCACCCTGGGACGCTCAGGGACCCCTGGGTGACCCCTGACCCCTCAGTGACCCCATGACCTCTGACCCCCCTGTAACCCCCTGTCCCCCCTGCAGTGTCCCCACCCCCGCGGGTCCCCTCCTGCGATTGGCCGAGCCCTGACCGGACCCTTCCCAGGATGCACCGGGGTGGCCCAAGGGGCGTGACCCTCGTTCAGCCACGCCCATCCCCGGGAGGGGGGTGGGGCCACAGTAGCCCCCACCCCTTCAAACGGCACCGTTGTGGGTGTGTCCCTGCCTTAGCCCCGCCCCCCCGCGGGCCGGAGGGGGAATCTCCCCGTTTGTGTGGGAGCAACAAAAGTGCAATAAAGCAATAAAAATAATAAAAGCAGTAAAATACATTTATTTTTACTGACAGAGTTTATGTGTGGGGCCCTATGCGTGGTGTTGCCCTTTTAAGTGCAGACTCCGCCCACCAATGCAATAAAAACAAAAGAATAAGATTTTATTATTTACCTTACAGTAAGGTAAAAATAAAATATATATATTATATAATCTAAATACTTATAATTAAGAATTAGTGATAAGAACAGCAGTAAAATGATAAAATGGAATTAGTACAATAAATTTATTCTCTAAGAAAATTATTTAATTTTATTTAGTTAGATTATTATTCACTATTTAACAGTAAATCATTTAAATCGGATTTACAGTTGCGCGGACCCCACGCGCGCGGTGTTGCCGTTTAAAGAGTAAAACGATCCCGTCGCCGTTTTAAGCGCAGGCCCCGCCCTCGCGGCGGTCACGTGCCCCGCGGGTGGGGGCGGGGCAGCCGCCGGTGACACTTCCGGGTTCTCTTAAAGGGGCCGCGATGCTCCGGGCGCTGCTGCCGCCGCTGCTGCTCGCGGTGGGGGCCGCGGGACGCTGGCAGCCCACCCCCGACACGGTATGGGGGGGGGGACACACCCACTGACCCTCTCACTGACCCCCGACACGGTATGGGGGGGGGACACACCCACTGACCCCGCCCTGACCCCACACTGACCCTTTACCACTGGGGGGGACGACAGGGGGACCCCCTGCACTGCCCCCCCCCTCAACCCCCCGGCCCTGGGACGCTCCTCTGGGGGCTTTCGGT